AATACTTTCCGTACCCACTGTATATATATACACAGTATATACACACACACACACACACACACATATATATATATATAATTTGACACTATTCCAGCATCAATTAGCAAACTCAAGAGTAATAACATTTTAAAAAAATACTTAATACTTAATTTATAATAATTGCAATAATTTAACAATATTTTACAATTAATTTAACAACAAATTATCAATATTAAATAAAACTAACACACACATCCTGCAGTGTAACGAACATAATTCTAATTGCTTTATTTAAAAGCAATCATTTAACTTCAGGACCATTTGAAATGAACAACAAAAAAAGGTGGAAAACTAAAATAGTCACCAATTATATATTTAAAATAATTACAATATAATAAATAATAAATCATATTCTTATACATTTTTATAACCTAAAATCTTGATGCAAATATGTAAAAAAGCAGGTAAAAAAAGCTGGAGCATGTCAAGGTCATGGGTTTTCTGAAATGTTTACCTTGAATACATCTGCCAGTGCATACAGTGAAAATGATTACTATATGAATCATTTTACATTTAATAACGTCCTAAAACTTAGTATAGTTTACAGTGACAGTCATGCATTTCTTACTGAAAACGTGAACATGAAACTGCAAATTGATGTTTTCAACCAAGAAAAGCGATAAAAGCAACAAACGCACCTTTGTCTTTTTGACACGAGGAAATACAAATGTCCCTCTTATCAGCAAAAGAACAGTGTGTGTGTGTGTGTGCGCGTGCAGTTAAACACAACAAAGGGTCAAACATAAGGACAGATCCCAGACAAACAGCTCTACAGAAGAGAAAACACACAAAACAAAGCTCTGTTGGTGATGTTAAGGCGAGAAAACGGCAGCAACATTAACAAGAAGACAGTACATGACGAGCAGCAGTGTCACACTCGCGAGCTCAGCTCACCATCCTCAGACTCCAGACCCCCTCAGATCCTAAACGAGCCTCTGCGTGGAGCCGCGCGGGGTCATGTCCAGAGCTCACCTCGCCCCGGTGTTGCGGTGTTTCTCCTCGCGCGCAGGTGTGAACCAATCATAGCGGGGGGCGGGGCCGAGATCCGCGCGCGTCTGGATCTGCTTCACACCTGCTGGCTTTACCTGGTCAGGTGTAGCGAGAACATTCTTTCCGCTGCAATAAATTCATAATTCATACATTTCATAATGAATAATTCGTTATGACCCTTGTGACCCAACCATACAAAAACAATATAAAGACTATCAACATATTAAACACTAAAAATGTTTTATATAGGAATTTGTTTTATTACCCACATGTTAAGTGCATCTTGTGATTTTTATTCTGCCGTATAATAATTATTATACTAACATTTACACAAGCATAAAATACCATGTAGGCCTACGTTTCACGTACAGTCATGGCCAAAAGTTTTGGCAGTGACATACATTTTGTGTTTTGCAAAGTTTGCTGCTTCAGTATTTGTAGATTATTTTTCCACATGTTTCTATGGTATACTGAAAAACAATGATAAGCGTATCATAAGTTTTAAAGGCTTTTATTGGCAAAAAAATATAACGAGTCAGTATTTACAGTGTTGACCCTTGTTCTTCATAACCTCTGAAATTCACTCTGGCATGCTGGATATCAGCTTCTGGGCCAAATCCTGACTGATGGCGATCCATTCTTGCCTTATTAGTTCTCGGCGATGAACACAATTTGTGGGCTTCTGCTTGTCCACTCGCCTTTTGAGGACTGACCACAGGTTCTCGATGGGATTGAGATCCGGGGAGTTGCCTGGCCACAGATCCAAAATTTCTCAATGTAATGATCTTCGAGCCACTTCTTTATCACTCTTGCTTTGTGACATGCTCCATCATGCTGGAAAATGCATGGAAATGCACCGAATTGCTCATGGATCGTTGGAAGAAGTCGCTCTTGCAGGACGTTTTGATACCATTCTTTATTCATGGC